CAAGCCAGGTAATACACAGGCATCTGTCTTCTAAAATTTTGAGACTACAATATAGCCTGTTATATTGCATGGGCTAACACTGTTTTCAGGAAACGGTGCTGTTACTTAAGGATTAGTTTACGGGCTGCATACAAAAACTATTGTATGACTTAGAGCAGTAAGGCATGTAACACATGAAAGGAATTTGAGCTATGGGGATATTTCTTAGTCTCTCAAGGGGAGTCACTGTTCAGCTGTGTTAAAGATCTGGCCTGGATGTGCAGCTTGGCTATAGGTTGAACAGTTGATGTTGACTGTAGATACCTCTGCTTGTTCATTTCCACCCATATCTGAAGATTTGGTTTGCACAACAATTCCTACGCCAACAGTCTTACGGGAGAAGTTTGAACTTCAAGTCATGGAAAGCTCAGGTGGCACAGAATTGTCATTCCAAGCTATTTCATAACCCGCAGCTATCCACATAACCCACCAGCTGCATGGAAGGAGCTGCAGAAGTGAAGAGAATGGATTATTCCAGAATATCAGGAGATTGAGAGAGAACAAATTAATTTGATCTCTGTCTTCACACAATAGCAGAGCTTGAACATATATGAGTAGCAACTGGCTTGTTTAGAAGGGACTCTAGTTTCTCTAACTGGAGGCTTTACAGCATGGATCATGCCAGCTTGCACCTTCTTCTGTCTGACTTGAATGGAAGGCAGGAGTGAAAATGATAATGAGTTTATCTGCTTAGTTCCTGTCTTGATAGTAACTTTTCCTGTAAGGAGGAGAAGTATTTTCATGAGCTTATGAAGGAAACCTTTAATAAGTATGGGCTGATGTTTAGATTTAGTTTCTGTGTCGCTAGTTACAAAATAAAAATAATAATTTTGAATAAAAATAATGTCTTTATTTTTCAGTAATATCTTCTAATTTAAGAGGCCTGACTTGTATCCAGTTTACGGGGGAAGACAACACCTGCCACATAGAGGCATGAAAAAAACAATTACATTCCCAGTGCTTATAGTACCATATGCAGTATTGGAGTCATGGTTCTCCTATTTAAAAATACATTGTTTTGATAATTTCATTCAGTTTTATTTTCCATATTGTGTGGTAATGTGCAATACTGCTCAGTATTACATTTGACACCACATCTTCTTTATTGATTAAGTTATATTGACTTCTTTTGCTCACTGTTGGAGAGCAACTTTTCTTTTGAACACATCAATGTTTCAGCTGGTCAGACTTCAAGGCTTAACCGACCTGCACTTCTTAATTTTTTGGCCTCATTATTGCTTACTATATTACCTCCTGCATGCCTTCTGTCTCTGTGTTGTGATTCAGCTATTCTACCACCCTTTCTGATCTCTATCCTCTGCAGTGCACTCAATTCAAAAGTGTCCTTGTTACTATTTTTCTAGCATGTTTTGCTACACATTTCTATCTCTTCTTTCTTTTCTGTTTTAGATATACTTCTGTTCTATTCCGTCTTGCTTTTCTGTTTTAGATATACTTATGTTGACTTTTCTATTCCACTTTCTTCCTCCTTGATTTCATATTTATTAGATTCAGTCCCAATTTCTCTTCCATGAAATCTCTAAAACATGGCTAGACTAGTGTGTCCGTCCATGCTATTTTATACTGATATAGGAAGAAAAAAAAATCTTTTCAGTGAGTCCATACCTTTGCACATCTCCAAACTCCTCCGTATGGTCATGCCTAAGTGTTCAGTTTATGTGAGCTGCTCCCCTGTACGTTAATTCACATGGTACAAGCTCAGAAGGGGTATAGAGTGGTTGGTGGGATCCTTAGTTTGTGTTGTTCAGCCTATACCTGAGTTATAAATTGTGGAGCTTTATCTCAGGGCTTTATTCTGCTACTGTTTCTGCAGGGTAAGGCTCTTGAGAGTATTCTTGTCAGAATACATATTGATTGAACTTCCCTAAACTGAAGAACTTATCAGTCCCTATTATCTTTCCACCTGGGAACTGAGGTTGTTTAGCCTGGAGAAAAGGAAGCTCAGGGGAGACCTTATCGCTCTCTACAACTGCCTGAAAGAGGTTGTAGTGAGGGGGGTGTAGGTCTCTCTTCCCCAGTAACAAATGATAGAATGAGAGGAAATTGCCTCAAGTTGCACTAGGGGAGGTTTAGATTAGATATTAGGAAAAATTTCTTCACTGAAAGGGTTGTCAAGCGTTGGAACAGACTGCTTGAGGAAGTGATTGAGTGACCACCCCTGGAGGTATTTAAAAGACATGTAGGCTTCTATTTGATGTCTCATTTAACGCTTAAGTAGCAAACAAGCTTAAGAAACAAGATGAAGTCAGTAAACATTTTAAGCTCATATTTTGTAAATCTCACCCCCTAAGCAGTGTCACTAAGACACTACTTAGTCTAGTAAATCTACAGTAAATGTTCTAGTAATGTATTTCAAAGTCCTCTTTAGATATTTTGTTAGCCCTTACACTTAACACAAGACTTAAGTGGATTTTCTGTATTCCCTCAAATTCTTTTCTATTCCACCTAATTTCTATAAAGTATAAATGTTAAAATTGGCCACCTTCATTATCATCTAATATAACTGCAATTACAGAGAAGAAGGGAAATTTAATAGAATATTTATTAACTTTACATTTTAACATTCTATCACTTAGCTTCTGTTTTACTTCAAACAGACTTTGAACAAGTAATTGCTGACCAATTAAAAGTAGTCAAGGAAGTTTATACTTCTATAAGTTAAACAATTTACATATATATACATTCTCATAAGCTACAATTAATTCCTTAGAGAACTTTATAATACATTTAATAGTTTATTTTAAGTTAATGAAAAATAATAGTACGTTATATGGTGTATCTGCAGATCCGTTAATAACACGATATATGGTATGGGTCTAAGAAAAGATCAGAAAATAATTAGTAGTTTAGTTCCATCCTTTTGAATGTACTTATTTCTAATTTTGTTATTTATGTACTTTGTTCATCTATATTTTACTTCTAATTTTAATATACTTCTATTTTTTATTATTTTAATGAAAAGCTTGACAAACAAAGTTATGCTATTATATGATTCATACAAATGGGAAATTATTTCTGTTTGTGCTAAGGAAGGGTGGAAGAAAAAAAATAGAGTGAACGGAGAAGAAGCTTACCCAAGTTGAATTAACTGAGTTTGTCTAGTTGCTAGCTAATAATTCAAGTGTGTGATTTGTTTGTTTCTACTTATCTATTTCAGTAACAGACTCAGTCAAATGCTATACATACATTCAACTTTAGATCATAGGATCAGAATAGTTTGGGTTGGAATGGACCTTTATAGGTCATCTGGTCCAACCCCCTGCCATGGGCAGGGACATCTTCAACTAGATCAGATTGCTCAGAGCCCCGTCCAATCTGGCCTTGAACACTTCCAGGGATGGGGCATCTACCACCTCCTAATTTCATATTTGCGTATTTAGGGGTGTACTTATAGCTTGAATCAATGTTGTAGCTCAACAGTGTTGAAAATAAGTTTACTTGAAAGTAGTGTAACTGTTTCCTCCTATTTTCAAGCACTGGAAAGTGAGACAACACCAATAACTACCCAGTAGATGCTTCTAAAATACATAGCTCAGAAAAGGAATTTTAGTTTCCAACACTGAGCATTGATAAACACAATCATGAACTTATGAATGCTTTCTGTATTTTTAAAATAATCTAGTTTGCTGCTAGTGTTAGAGCAAGGAAGTACACATCAGTAATTGCAGATATAATCCACTTTCCTTTTTGCTTTTCTTCCAAAATTCCTCAAAAATTGAGTGTGTCGAAAGTGGTTTGAACTGGACATGGTATTTTAAATACTTTTTGACTGGCCATAGCAATTATTTCTGCCAGTGGAAAAAAATAAATAAGAGAAGAAAGTAGAATTTTTCAGTTCAAGAGTGCCAAGAAATGTGCTGTTTCTAGTAAAAGACTGATTTGGTGTGCATTAGTGAAAATTGGTTTGCTGAGTTCCCTGTGCTTGTAAAAATTCACTCACAACTTCTTTCCCTCTGCATTTTGCATATAGAATTGTAAAGTAGGTGTTTATAGCATCAGCATTTTAAAGGCACAGATAGCTGGGCAGATCCTGTCTTAGGAGTGCCAAGATTTTTTTTTCCTTTTTAGCACTGTGTAGCACATAATTTCCCCTGCCCTTTCTGCTGTCTGTAAGAGGAGAGTCAAGTCCCTTTTTGTTAAATTCTCTGTTTCTCCTTTACCTCCTGATTAAACTTCTGATTAGGTTCTTCTTGTTAAATCCCCACAGAAATAAGAGTTATGTATGCAAGAACCTAAGAGCAAAAGGCAAGAAACAGCAGAATCATATCTGTGCTCTTTCTCCTTATCTCAACTGTGCTCTCAGTAGACTGGTCTGTAGCTGCACAGAAGACAGACTTAACTACCTCTAGACAAGAACCCCTTCTAATTTGCCTCTCCTCCTATTACCACATCAGTGAGGCTGGTCAGTCAATTCTATGTAAAGCAGTGGGGAAAACATCAAGGAACAACTGGCAGATGCTTTCATGTCAAGGTTTTCAGAGGAAATATAATGTGTAGCCTGGCAACTGGCCTACTAAAATAGTATGTTCTATATATACAACAGCTTGAGCCAGCTAGCTTTTGGGGTTTTTTTCAGAGAAATATCTTCTTGCCTTGACACTGCAGCTTTTTTGATGGGAAAGATACTCCATAAAACCCAGATACTCCATAAACCCTGGATTCTGCAAGAACAGAGAAATTGTATGCCTGGTGACATTTTCAGTGAGCAATACAGGAAAACTGTCCTTTTGCTTTTGATTTTCTTTATTTAAAAATGTACTTTGATCTACTTTTGGTACTTTATTAAGTGCCTTTGAATAGTAATAGCAGTTTGTCGGGCTAATGTGCCTAAAAAAAATTAGTGGTGATGGTTCTTACAGATAGAGTATATACCAAGCAGAACCAGAACACCTTTGATTTCTTTGAATCTAACCCTGTCTTTTCTATGTATTTTCTTTCAGAATTAAAGTGGCTCAGCAATCAGTAAGCAAGTTAACTGCAGAGAAGAAAGTTGAAACAAAGAAAATCAATCCTACAGCTAGCCTGGTATGATGTGTTTCTCAGTATGACATTTGTAAGGGGTTTTGTGACACTATTCTTGTCATTCAGAATGATGGCGGCTTTCTGCTGTTGTTGAAAGGTGATGTAGTATGCTTAGTTTGAATGTAGCAGGGTGATTTTCTTCCTAAGGAGAAATCTTTAAGATTATGTCCTATGGTAGTCCATCATTTAAGTTTGAAAAGTAGTATACTTATGCCTAAGCATGGCTCTGCTCTTTTAGATACCAAAATTGATAAGACCTGCTTTTCTGTTTTTTTCCCTGCTTCCACTGAAGTCTCTTGTATTTTCTTACATGCTTCATAGTGCATTGAGGCTCAATGCATATAATTGTCCAATGGCTGAGTATGATTTTTTTCAAAACCTTACAAAATCTCATTTGCTCTGTTGAATAATGATAGAAGGGATTAAATCCCGATTTTGTTCTTGCTGTTTCCCAAGGCTTTTTTATACAAAAGAAAAAGAAGGCTAATAATTTACACTGTAGATAAAACTTTTTTTGTCTGTGTGTGAGGCACATCAGTTAGATCGGCATTTCTCAAACTGTAGGAAGCAAGAGACTAAGGGCAAGAAATATACATGAAGGAATCAGTATATTATTTCTATTCCCAGTAGAGCACATCAGTTGCACGGCAAGCGGCAGAGACATGAATGACTACACTTGCTTGGGAAGAAGTCATTAAACAACAGAATCTAGCTAATGCTAAATTAGAGACTTTATGTCAGCAGAAACCATTCCAGACAAGAGAAGGTATTAGATTCATACGAATTTGAAATGTATCTGGTTTTCTCTAGCTGCACTGGTCTTCACATAGCTGTGTATTTTTAAAGGTACACAGTATTTGACAAATGTGTAGATAAAGCAAGATCAGTTTTTCTACGGTAAGTAATGAACTGGTGCTGAGCCTTCCTTGAGTGCTCCAGGCGTTCTTTTTTTTTAGTTAAAGGAAACTCTAATCTACTGTGACTTGTTTAGTACTTCTTAGTCTTCAAGACCAAATGTTCATGTCAAGTTGAGAGAAGATGGAAAGTTACAGACAAGAATGATAATAAAACTCTTTCTTTAACAGAAAGAAAGACTACGTCAGAAGGAAGCCAATGTGACTGCCAACTGAAAGAAGGAAGATGAAAATGATAGTGTGGCTTTATACCTTGCATGATGCTTTATTGCACCCATGGCCCAGGGAGCACCTTATGTTAGATACTGAATTCTTCTTTGCTGATCTGTTCCAAGACAATCCACTAAAGACTTTTTATTTCCTTCAGAGGGGTCTGTATGTTCAGTGGAGGGAATTCTAAGAAGGTTTTTACATGGGAAGGCAAAATTATTTTCTGTAACTCTTCCTTACATTGCTTAAAATGCATCTGGTTGTTAATGGTTATTTAAAGTACACTATGCATAATGCATTATTATGGAAGAGCTAAAATGAGCATTTTGGATGCTAATTAATGACTAACAACCTGTAGGTTATTTACAGGGCTTTGTGTAGATGAGAGCAAATATGCCATTCAACTCACAGAAGACTATTACATCGTGCTTTTTGTTACTTCAGCAGAAACTTAGGTAAAATTAATTGATTCTAAATAATTTTACAGTGTCTAAGTATTGGATGCATCTTTCTAAAACTGATTAAATGTAATTATAGATTTATGCTGTATTTTACTAGACATATTTTTATAGAAGCTTCAGCTTATGCCATACATTGAAATGGAAACAATATTTTGCACATGAAAAGGAATAGTTTCAAATTCTTTAGTTTTATGATTGATGGCATAACTGATTCATTATTTTTATGGTTTTAACCTAACATTTCCTAAATCTTGAGCTTCAAAAGAAAAAATATAAAAATGTATATTTTTATTTCAGTATATATTGAAAATATCAATTCCATAAAATGATGAGTTTATTAGTCATTATCCATTGAACTAAAATACACCAACATGTCTCCATGGAGTTAAACATTTGCCATTAAATCTCTGGCTTTCAATTCTATTGAAAGCTTTTTTTTAAACAGTGAATATCTCACTGCTCTTGTCCCCCTATATTTGTATGAAGAATGTGTCCAGCATACATATAGATATACCTTTATATATACATAAAATACTTTAATAAGACTTGAGGAAGAAATAAAAGAGTCTTGCTGTCCTCCTATAACATTATAACCATTGCCTATATAGAATCAGAGCCTGAAAAAAACCCTACAAAATATCCTCTGTTACTTGAAGATTCTTACCTCATTTTAAGGATTTGGATTGTTAGAATGAGAGATCTTGAAGCTGAAGTTAATTTAAGGTAAAACAGAAAAGTGATTTTTAAATACAAGTAGGTAACAGCCTGTAAATAGGAACAGCAAACTGGAGAAAACATACTTCTACATGCTATCCATGAAAGAGAAATCCCCTTCTTTATGACAATGGTGTCTGAAGTTGGTTACGAAGAGAAATTAGGTGAAACAAAAAACTACAGAAAGGTAATAGGGGAAATGTTCTAATCATTTGCTTAGAAGCTGGAAAGAATATGCATGAGACAGACATGGGTTATCCATACAGCAAATTAGATAGAGAAACTGTGATGAAACCTAAGGCAAAGTCATCCCTAGAAGTGTACATTTATTAAGGAAAACAGCAGTCGTGGAGACCCTCATTCATGAATTCACTTGAAGATTTCATATATTGCAGCTTTCTTAAATGAGTCTCTTATTCCTGCATAAATAAAACCAAGGGAATCAAGATTCCCTTGTGTGTTTTGGAGTTTCTAGCTCCTGCAGATATACTCAAGATATGTAAGCATAATTCTTATTAAAACAGTCAATAATATACCAGAAAAAATAATCTGATCTGTAGTTTGACTATTCCCATTGCAGAAAAAAGAAAATTCCAAAGATTTAAGTTTTCTGTCTTCCACCAAATAGGTAAAGTACATTTGTTTCCAATATTATTAGTGATAAAAAACAGAAGCAATAACGTTTATAAAAGCCAAAGAACAACAGTAAGCAAGGCAATTCTGATGAGTGTTTAAACAAACAAGTGTTGAGTTTTGATATGGTTTTCTATCTGTCATGAAGATAGCATGTATTGCCATTTGACTTGATCGGGAATTTTTCAATTAAATGTTTTACTTGAAATATTAATCAACAAGAGTAGCACTGTTTGTAAGAAAGGATTGGTCTTGAAAATTCTTATTAGAAATATATTATAGAAAAAAGTTTTAAAATTATTCAAGGGTCCTGTTTAAAAATTTCTAAACGTGAAGTTTCATTTTTCAGTTCAAATTGACTTTTCATTTTGAAATGTTGAAAAATGTATATAAAAAGGGATTAAAATTAAAAGTATTGATATAAAGCATTCCTTGATCAGACTTCTAATTATTTTTTCAGGTTATCAATTTGCCAAAGTTCTGAGAATTTAGGCTATTTTTTCAGGATTATTCAAAGATATATAGCACAGAGACATTTTTTCTTCCTCATCTTCAACTGTATTGATTTTCCTCTCAGGACAGAGATTCTGATTCCAGCTTCACCCATGACTCAGATCCTCTACACTAGTTAAACTATTTTTAAGTGAAAAAAAAGCATTCACCCAGACTATTTGATTCATTCTCTTAATCATGACTTTAGGATTCTTGGATGGAATTCATCAGCTAAATATCACACTTAAACCACTACTGATAGCCAGAAGTGTCTTCAGGCAGTGATTGAAGTGACAGTGATACACCTACTACTGACCTTAACTAAAATGTATTAGAGAAGAGATATTAACTGATATATCTGTGTAAGCTGTCTAATTATGAAGTATTTAGACACTACAGACATAAAAAGTGAGAATCAACCAGCGTTCATCTTGGGGTCACCAAAAGTTATGCTTTAAGCTTACATTTAGTTTGGTGCCTGACTTTACCCCGAGCTTTCTAATTTGGGGGGAATAAAAGGAGAGAAGGAGAAATGAGAGAAAATAAAAAGATTGAATGGAACAGAAGTCTCTGGTACATACCTAGATTGCTGTCAAGGAAGTAAAAGTAGAGTGGACTAAATTAAGCCAAGCAGCAATAGCTAGACAGTTAAAATTTTCCAGCTATGTAATTTAAAATACCTCTACACTACATAGAAGTCACTTCTGTGACCACGAAGTAGATGTGGCTTAAGAGGGTTTTTTTCTGTTTTTTGTTTTGATTTCAACTCTGTTATTGCCAAGCTTTTCAAAGTCTGTAAAGCAAAGTACTATTAAAACCCATATTACTCAGTAGGTGCATATTACCCAGGAACACTATATACATTCTTTGTAAATTGAATTATTAGGAAGAATTCAGTTTAGATGAGTAAATATCAATAATTTGTGGTCTTTACCTTACTTACTTACCACTTACTTACCACCTCCTGATTTTAAAATAAAAGACCTTTTATCATCTTTGAGATATTATGACAATATAAATTATATTTTCATTATGTTTTTATTAATCTATGAAAACTACCCAGGTATTTTGCCATGACAAACCCATGTAAATGTTTTATCATGTGCTTTATTATAGGGTTGTAAATGTATAGCTTGAATATTATACTTTTGTATTTAACTTACAAATTTTTGGCAGCAAAACATAAACTGTATGATCTTCAGTTTCTGTACATACAGAAATTAAAATAGAATTGATGGAATACTCAGCAGAGAGAAAAGTAATTTAACACCTTAAGTGGTTCTAGGAAGGATAAAGTTTACATGGGATCTCAACCTTTCTGAATTGCTGAGGATATCTCCTCCAACCAGATATAAACAGCCAGGGTATCTCTGACCAGTCTAACTTTTTTCTACATGAAATATGAATAATTTGTTTTCCATATGACATACAGGCTTCTTATTGCCCTGATTTTCCAGGAAAATGTTAGCAGTTACTTTCTTAGATCTAAGGATCTTTCTTAGCTGATGAATACACGGCAATGAAAGACTGTGTATTTGCTTATTTAGTAATACTGTTTCTTCATTGCTTCATGTCAATATCTTAAAAATAGATGCCTTAATCTTGTCGGGGTGTGGAATTTCAGAAACACCAAAACAAGTTAGAAATATTCGTATCATTACACTATTTGATGTGTTTTTGAAAATCCACCTCCTTAATCTGTGTTTAGGCACCATTCTAATCTTATCATTTCAGAAAATCATATCCACCTAGTTTTTGCTCATTCTTGGCCTTGTCTCGATCAATATGGTTATGGATCTTGCTCTTTTTTTTTTTTTCTTTGTTTCTTAGTTTTTTGCTTTGGTTTGGGTTTGGTTTTTGCTTTTTTTTGTTTTGCTTTTTTTTTAACACCTTTAGAATTTCTTAATGCCAGATAGTAAATTTCAGGAAAAATATTAAAAAAAAAAAGTATAAAAATTAAAACCAGATAAATTAAAATCAGTAATAAATTCCAAATTATTAGTAATGAGACTATTTAACCACAGGAAGAAGTTAACAAAGATAGTTGTAGTTTCTCCATTTTCTAATGTTTTTAAATCAGGATGGAACATCTTTCTGAAATGTTTGTGTAGTCTAATACAGCTTATTGGACTCCGTTCAGATGTACCTAAGTGGTAGCCCATATCCTTTGACTCACCAGTTCAAATAGTTCCTCTAGACAGAAAAATGTAAAAATAAGTATGTCAAAATACCTAATCTTTTTTTTCCTCTCAGCTGTAACGAAATATCCAAGGTGGAAGAGCTCTTTGTTGTGATTTTAAATTTAAAATATCGCAAATAGTGTGATGTAGAACAACATAATGCAGGAAACTATTGTCTAATTATAAACATTTGGATTTCAAATAATTAATATATCTCTGATGCATCTTGTGTTATTTGCAATGTAGCAAATTTATATGCTCTGGAATTCAACACTGTTTTAGAGATTCATAAGCTAGGTCTGAAAAAAATGGCATTTGGATTGCACAATGTGAAATTCTGGATTCACAGAAACCCTAGTTCCTTGTCATAGGTTTAAGCATATGCAAGGGAGTTTACTTTGGATACAGCTAACATGATGCAAAATTTAAATAACAATCTTTCCTTTTAGTGAATTATTAGATATGACCTGTTAATACCATTACCAAATGTTTCCACTGCTCAGTAGATCTTGAACCATAATGATTTTATGCAATTGTTTTAGAGATACAAAGTTCAAAAGTTGTGCAAGCAAAATTACTTGGTTTTGCAATTTTTCAAAACACCTTCAAGAACTTTTCTTTTTCATTTTTTTTAATTCAAAAAATATTCTTAGAAACATTGCTAAAATGGATGCTGTTTTTTTTCCACTTGTTGTAAATGTGATACACATGAACTCTAATATTTTCAGTAAATTTGGCAAGCTTCAACGGGCTTTAAATGATTTTGATTTAATACCTCATAGAATTCAAGCTTTTAAAATTAGGGCCTCTTTGTAAAATGCAAGTCCTATTTATAAAAACATTTGTTTTAAGAAACAATGAAGTAAAAATGCTGAACTGATAACTTAGACCCAGAATGCACCACCTTCATGGGAGGACATTATCAAGCAGCATAAGCTTTCCCACAATGTACATCAGCACTGCATTTCCCATGGTTTGATTCTGACAGATGTCATCTTAGAGTAAATCAAAGGCAGCAATTATATTTTTTTTTTCATTAGGTATTTCTGTTTAATTTCATTTCATACTTTGTCACCTCAATTTAATCTTCAACAATCTAATATTGAGGTAATATGAAGCCTTTTTATAGAGGCTGATACTGCTTATATATGCAAGGATTTTTATTTATGTAAGTATTCCTGTGGCCCACACAGTACAAAATATCCATAGAGGACATTATAGGGACATGGGACTGAATAAAATCTCTTTTAGAATCCTGTTATGACAATTACGCTGAACTATTCCAGTAAGGGGAATGGATTTCTTTTCTGCAGTAAGATCTGCCTCAAAAGGTTTTGGAGCTTTCGGAGCTTCTGGTGGATGGAGGATGAGGCTGTTGGTATGGAATCATTGCTTTAGCCATCAATTCCTAAAAGTACAGCTTCTCTGGAGTTACACTGCATTTGAATTCCCTGAGCCAAGATTGACCCAGGGACTACTGGAAGAGATGCTGGAAAATATCATCAACAGCCGTATATTTTCAAAAGGGAAAGAGATCATAGTTATATTTCCAGATTAAAGCAAAAGCTAGGAGACTCTTCCAAAATAGCAGAAATTTTATATAGTTGTTTGTATCCTTTAATTAGATTCTATAGATTTCAGAAATTCTCCATTCATATATGAATTTCCTTCTGTGCCTGTGAAGAGAATCACTTATGTATTCTTATGCTTTTATTGTGCGGTGACCACTAAAATGTTGACTACAAAAACTGTTGAAAGAGAGATCCATTAACAAAGTCCCAACAGACAGTTGTATTTCAGGTTTCCCAGTACTGTCCTGCCAGGAACCTTCATATTTTCCTAGAGATAAGAAGAGTTTAGCTGCCATGCCATCTGCGTTCTCAGCCTTTCCTAATCATAAACTAGTACTTGTAGCATAGAGCCAAATGATGGGGCCAGATTCCATCATCACTGATAACTATTGTGTTTACTACAATTAAAAGTTAACTAGGTCACAAAGTCATCCTAAAGATGACAGGTGGGCTGTTTTTGTGTTACCCATTAAACTGTAATATATTTGATAAGCTCAAAGTCCTAAAGAGTACTGACACAGTCTGAGATTTATGTAGTCTGTTGACTCTAACACACAGCATCCATATAGTTTAAGCTCAAATGACTTTAGAAAGAGTAGCTGTATTAGCTGTTCACTTGTTGATAGTGTTTCTTTAGTCTTTTTTTTGAATCTTTACCAAGATAATTTTTGTCTATCTATGAATTCCACATTTGAAAACTTAAAATGGTACTTTTTCTTTCTGACTTCTCCCAGAGGGACCAGGCTTGTAGTTCAGTATTCTTACTTTCTAATTTGGCATGCTGTAAATACATTCCATTGTAGTTGGACAAATGCTCATCCTGAGCAACTATCCACAGAAAATGTATTGTAGAAACTGCAGAAACTGTGTAGAGATCAAAGAACATAGCATTATTTCCTACTGCTTTGAGCATCAGTAGTCAGCAAATAAACATATATATTGTATAGCACCTGATGGTTATTTCTTAGTTGTAAAGTAGTTTAAGGAATGTATTGCCATTCGCAGCTAATCACTATAAACTGGATAAAAGCCATGTTGTTCTTATATATTTTTTTTTTTTTAGTCTTTATTAAAATGAGTTTTTGTGGTACGGGTATCTTCTAGGTTTTAGGGAGGAAGATACCATTCTGTAATGAATCAAAATGCAGCAGAGTCACAGCTCTATTCTTTCATACCTGACAGGAAGGTGAAGGAATAAAACTGATTTCTTTTCATTCCACATAAAACTAATACTTTTTTTTCTGATTACTTTTCATTGTTGATCATTTTGTGTTACAATCCAGTGCATTTTAGAAGGGCTGTAAAGAAATTAGAAGGTTCAGCTATGAATCTCATTCCTTAAAGATTCCCTGTAATGTTCAAATTCATCAGACTGGCATGGGGAACACCTCCCCTGTCACAGTTTTTCCTCAGCGATTTGTATAACTCTCCTCTCCTTTCTTTGTTAAAAGCAAAGTCATGTAGCTACCAGACTGGTTGCTAAAGGTCCAGGAAAACTTAACTATTGGGTATGGAGAGGTCAATTAACTTCCAAATTATGATAAAGACTTATGCAGCTTTATTACATGAGTTGAATCTTCATAATTCATCTAAGTTGAACACAATTCATTTTCAAAGAGTTAGACAATCAGTACAGTGTTTTCATGCATTTCTGTTACTTACAATTTTATGTCAAAAAAGCCTGTCTCACTGGGTAGGAAACAGAACTTGTGCATTTAGTTATGTAACCAACTTCTGCTTGATTCCAGACCAGAAGTATGTGTGATGTGGGAGATGTACCTGAGTGTTTTGGCATTACATTTTATACATATTTCCCATCACTTATCCAGGGGCCAAGTAAAGAGATTCAGTAATGTACCTAAAATGAAAATGTTGTTAGAAAATGCCACTGAAACAATATAAATCTCGCTATTTCTTTTTAGTGAATTTTCATTTGAAGAAGTCCATCCTCATGTAACTTCCTGTTGAGGTGTTTGGGTTTCTTTGTTTTAATTAGTAGATGATATTATATAAGATAATCAAGCCAGCTTGTCTTGGACAAACTTAGTAGGGCCTTGAGTGCTAGTCAAGTAAAATAATCTAATCGGTGTGCATGCTCAACATGCCCACTTGTAACTACTGTAGCCTGAACAGCACTGTTTTATCTGCATATAGCTCAGATAAGAGAGAGACTTGAGAGGGAAATTTAACAGATTTTCAGGTGTCAGATTCGGAAAAGCTATGTCAAATGAAATGCATTCTTGTCATATTGGACTGGTTTTGCAACATCAGTGATACCTGTTGCAAAGGAAGAGAAAACTCATGCTCCATGCCGGGTGGGATTGGGTAAGGACGTTTTACAGAGAATTGGTTAAAGTACTATTTCTTGTCGGAGTTCTCAGCAAAGCTGTGAATGCCCAGCTGATAACTGGCAATATATTGCCCAGGAGAAACAGAATTATTTTTATACTTTTTTGAAAATACATACTTATTATAATGACACTTTAGTTTTGGGAGTATATCAGCCACAAGAAGAAAATCTGCCCCTGTCATTGTACTCAGCTATTACTCTCTGTACAAGCTAAAAGCTTCGCCATATTCAGAAGCTATAGAAAACAAAAATGGAGAAATATCTTTTTGGGAGGAATCACATTTAGCCTCTGGAAGGTGTTTTTGGTAAGATTATAGTATGATTTTCAAGTTTCATTTAGTGATTTTGAAATTTTTTTTGTTTTCCTTTCCAATCATTTTGAGTTGAATAGTTGCACTGTTGAACGTTATTGTTGTTGGGACTCTTCCCTCTCTTATGTCCATATGACTCAAAACCATAAAAATACATGCCACTTTGGCTGGTTAACTTCTCTTTGAAGATGTAGCAAAATAGCAAATTCTCTCACAATGCTATTAATATTCTCTGTGTACCTAGCAAGTTTCACAGACATAACAATGCTTAAATCTCTTATGTCCATATGGGATTTTCTTTAAAAAAATCATAGATTTGCTTGAATGTTCACACATACACTCAGCATTTATATATTTGCTGTCAATTGAATTGAGCTCAACTTTGCATTTTTCATCCCACAAAATGTACAGCGAAAATAATGGAATATTAGTATGGGTTAAGTTTTTTGTTTTTCAGGAATCAATCTCCTTTGGGTAGTTCTTGAATAAATATGTTATAAATGTCTTAAAAGAATAAACTAAATAGATTCAGGTGATTTTTCTCCTCCCTTAACACTATTATTATATGTGTGTGTGTGTGTTTCTACTATGTATCTGAAATTTTCATTTTCTCAGAATACAAGGTGTGCACATGATTAACTTTGTAAAAGTTACTGTAGTGGAATGAAATATTTATTTTTAAATTAAATTCTTAAGGAACCATTGGCTGTAAATAAAAGACTATATTTTCCTCCTCAGCAATTTTTCATTTTATCAATTGTATTTTTGTATTCAGAATACATTGTTGAGATACTGTAGTTTTCTCTGTTTGAATAGTTGTGTCTAAATGACGTTTTTAGTTACACTGCTTTACTGATCCAGTTAATATTCCAAGTTCAGGATGCTTGTTGAAAAGATGCACTGTATTTTGGAGATGTGCAAAGAATTCAAATATGTAGTTTACTGATATAAATTTCTTGAAGGTATTTTAATAGATGTGGGGGGAGGGCTTGCATCTGAAACAATTTGCACACATATCTGGGGATGTGGATTTCCTTTAGTTCTCATGCCACTTTTGGCAACTTATCACGTTTCCAAATACATAATATTGAAAAGCTCCTCAATGCTTTTTGGCAACTCAGAGCATGCTGCCCACAAAATTATATTAAAATGGTATCTCAGAGGTTTGTATCATTCATGTCTCCAGACACTAATATTTGGGCTCCATTATTTAAGGGGAGAAAAAAAAATCTAGAAATTACATAATTTTATCTATATTTTACTGTTATTTGTATTACTCTACACTGACAGCCTAGAAAAATTTACCATAAATTGTTAGAGATATTTTTTCCAGTTTCTCTACAGTCAGAATAGAAAACTACTACAATTTAAGTATAAAATTATGCAGTAATTTCATCCATCAACTGGCCGTTGGAGGAATCCAGAAACTGGAAGCATCTTCACCAACTCAGCAGCTCTCCAAAGTCTGGTATATTTTAGCCAGTTTTGAGGGATTTTTTTGGCATCACACATCACATACCTTTAAAGTAGAAAGAATGTGATTTGGTTATAGATGTTTCTGAGAACAGCATTAGTGTGTTTGAAAAACACTGTCCTTAGCCAATCAGAAGTTGGAGTGATCATGCCAACGGAGTAAGAGCCAAAGATATGCTATGAAGGACCTTGAAAACCATAACAAACTACTCAGATTAAAAGAGGGAGTCAGAGGAGATACTCAACAAATACACAGCAGCATGATCAAATGCATGGTTTTTTGTTTGAAAAGTTGCATGTCTCATCACAGAAGAGACTACAAGAACCTGAGCAAGGATTTCAGCTAGATAACTGAATTGGAGATGCCAGATAGAAATGATCACCAAGAAGTAGGCATTAACCAAGTATGACGAACTGTTTGCAATCAATTTCCTGTAGAAGACAACACATAGGTATTGGGAAGACATGCTAGATACATAATTCCACAATGGTGAACATCATAGAAATATCTAGATAGGCACCGAACATTCAAGCAAGTACGTAATAAGTTAAATCATCCTAAATAAAAATAGCTAAGCCAACGCAATGCAACTTAGAGACAGTTTCTCTCTTTTCCTTCTCTTACTATTTATTGTCTAGTTGCTTGACCCTTTAAGACAACAAAATGGTGTGCTGCTGAAGAGGCAGGTGTTATGAGCTTTTCTGCTCTGAATCCTACTGATATGCCAAGATGTTAGGTGACGGTATGTTTTTCTTTATCCACATGAACAACTGATTAAATATTCATTAAGAACCTAGATTTGACTGCTGAAGTTCTTGGTCTTTATGCTTAACCCACAAGATTGAGCCAGTGAGCAGTATTTGCTGTAGGGCTGTGCCAGTTATTCTGAGGGAGAAATACCACGTACAGGGAGGCAAAGACATCAGATAAAGTGACTTCATTTCCAAGAGTAAACCTATATAATAACACCAAAGTTGAATAGAATTCCAAAATACTGAGTCAAATCCTGAAGTTCTAAAATAAATGCTACTCTTCTGAATATATAAAGCTCTCATCAGATACAAACCTTGTTTTCTATGCTGTAGAATTCTTCATTATTTAACTGTCAGTGTATTTCAGCTCTAGGTTTATTGAAAAGTGTTATTTCATAAATACAGGATGAAATTATGATAGACTGCTGTTAAGTACTACGGTACAAACTGCTTTTATTTAATAGACAGATTAGATTCACACAATTAAATAATTTCAGCGATGCATTGTTTCATATCTGTAAATATTACAGCTATTTATCCACAGGTTAAAGTTGGAGATAAAAGCAGTCAATTCCTAAGTTATTTTATTTATAAATATGCAGATACATATATATGCATATGTATATTATTTCTTCTATATATACACACACACACACATCTTTAATACAAGCTATGCTATTTATATGGCAAAAGAAATTGATCAAGTCATAAATCTAAAATCTATATTTCAATAATGTATAATGAAATTTTCATACATCCATTAGTTCATGAAAGGATAGTTAGCATCAAATCAATATTAAAAGCTGGAATACTGCAGTGATTGAAGTAATTTAAAAGCAAATGAGCTGATAACTATCATCTGAGATGTGCTTGTCAGAAAACTTTAATCAAAGCAGACTGGGGATTTCTATGTGTAACCTCTTTCATGAGATACATCCCGAGGTGCTTTGCAAAATAATGAAATTAACAACGCAAATATTGATGAATACACTAGGTCAAACAAAGCAGTCCTTGGTCTTGAGAGTGCCACTACCATGAGTCAACAAACCAAGGGATTCCAGATGAAAAGAAAGTAAAAGCCACAAGGCCAGCCAAATAGGATATCTGCCTTTCACTCTGTGCTGGATTTGGGAAGGATGAAAAAAAATGTTCAAAACAGTTTGCAAGTCTTGGTTTTTCTTTCTACATAACTGTTCCATTTCATTGTGTCTATTTGCTCTAGGTTTTTTGCATCTTACATAAATGTGCCAAATCTCTTCTGTAAGACAGTGGATGAACAGGTGTATGGGCTCCAGAAGTTTCTGGTTTCCATGTTGGCTATCTACTGTATGGGCTACTGCTGGAAGAAATACTGTTCTTATATAGGTAATTCCAACACATTTAAGAAAAGTTGGGATTTTTCAAGTTTGATCTTACAGTACTTTTTTACCTAATCCTGACAAGAGAAACTAATGGTCCACAGATCACAGCTGAAGACAGGCTCAAAAGAAATGAGTGGTGATTTAACTTTTACAACTTATTCTTTCTGAGTGAAACTTGTTTAGACATGCTGGGCGTTCATGAAAACCCTCTGCAGCTTCTTAAAAAGAATGTGAGGGGTGAGTGAGGAATAATTTTTTCAATCGCAGTGTGTTATAAGACTTCTGTTTTTTTCTTTTGCATTGTTTCCTCTTTCTCCCTCCTTGTTTAAGAAACCAGTGCTAGCTTCATGTGCATTTATCCAGCTCCAACATTTGTTCATTGCTAATAATGAAATTTATTCAAATTGTAAATTCCAGGACTGCAATGATTAAGCCATTTGAAATGTCTCCATTGATTGATCTCCAAATTTCTCAGCCAGATTATTGGATATACTTGTAAGTATTTGTACTAATACTTACAAATTTTTATTTCAGACTCTATTAATCAAAGAGTCAGGGACAAAAGCCTCCCACATGATTCATAACTAATCAAAAAAGTGCCAATCAACCACTGAGAATTCTACAATTATGTAATTAGCTGAGCAGTGAAATTTGAAATTAACTTGTTATGAAAAGCTTGACCCACAAATGGCCATGTAAAATGAGCTCCAAAGGACCATGTGTGTGAGTTAAGGGAAACATTCTTGAATGCTGATGTCTATATTTTTTATCTTTTACTTCTCTCATTAACCTCAAAAAATGGCAACATGATGATGTTTGAAAGTGCTCTTTGCCAATCTCCCTCACAGCAGCTGTAGCAGTATTTTGGGCTGTTGAATGGTTATGAATCAGACAGAAGTGTGCTGTGAACATTTTTTTTTTTTACTTTGAGCATCTTTGATTTCCATTGAAGTATTGATAAATACTAGATTTGCTAGTTTTATATGTGATTCAGAGCAGTCATAATGAACCTGTCTTTGAGAAATGCAATGGTCTGATGCAAATGTTCTGAGGATGCTGTGCATTCATGATGTGGGATAACAGGGTTCTCATTATAAATCACAAAATGCTTTCAGATGTTTGAGGTGTATGCATTCCCAAAACATTGCTACCCTTAGGGTCTGAAGTTCAGTGATTTTAAAGATTTGAAAGATTTTTAAAGATAATTTTAAAGGAAAGCACAACATGACATGTATTCTCTGATTACAGAAATTAGTTCCTAGAGGATGGATAAAAGGCAAAAACTAAAAGGAAGAGAGAGAGAGGGAGGTGTTTCACCGTGTGAATTTTTCCCTCTCTTTTTTCCTGATTTAAATTCATAATCAGCAACTCTCATATGATGATATTCCCACACGCATCCCTTGGATAATGCATTCCAAAACTCCAAAATTATGATGCAGATCCAAGATGGGTTTCTGAGACTACTTCATGCACGCACTTCTGAAGTTGTCATCCTTATTGCTTACATACAATAGCATATATTTGGAAATTTTCACGATATTATAAGAATATGTCTTCTTTCTACTCATTGCTCTTTGTTTGGTGATACTTCCACAGAAAGCAAGTTATGGGACCGTACACCATGTCCTGACAACAAAAAGAACACCTTGAGCTTTTAAAAGAAGCTTCCCATCTCTTCTGGTATTAAGTGTCTCCTAAAATACCAAACCAAATCCATCTGCAAGCCTATTGTGAAACTACTACATTAATAAAAAAATGTGAAGGGAAATCAGTTTCCAGAAGCTGAGAAAAGAGTTAAGATTCTTAAAAAGAGAACAACTTGCATATGAATCTAAGGATCCTACTCAAAGCCAGGCAGAAAATCTGGACATTTTCCAAAAGCAAGATTCAATATAAACTTGCAGTATACTGTGATGCTAGCATGTCCTTTCCGTTAAGCAGCATTGAACAGCTGAGAATCATTCACCTTACTTTAGCAGACATTTTTTGAGAAAAAAGGGGCAAAGGCAATATTAATTTTTAAGTAATATGAGCAGAAGAAATCTGATGCCAAGCTGCCCTTTTTGCTCCTGGGATTCTGTTCAGCTAATTCCCAAGGCATCCTTCTGAAAATGTATCCTTTGGACTGAAAAAAAAAAAAGGCAAAACCC